TGTGTGTGTACCATCAAATCTGATCTGACTGGTACTAGAGGAGATTGCCCCTCCTTCTCCAGCACAGCATCTGATGGATTCGAACCATGCACCTCTGGGACTGCAGTGCAGCTTCCTGCCAGTTATTATTATTAATGTTAATGAAAATTTATAGAGACTTTGGATTTCCATTCATTCATTGTTGCATTTTCTCCCTGCCCACCCCTCCTCCCCAGTACACTCTTCTCTTTGAAAAGTAAAAGAAAAACTCTTTCATTGTTATACAATCTCTTCCCCCAAGTCCACTCCACTGTGCAGCCTTCGTTCTGGACTCTTGACATTACAATAATACCTAACCATATATCCCTTTTAAACAGTTCTTCGGAGCCCCTTTTAGTCCCCAGTGACTCACCTCCCTCAGGGTGTGTGTATGAGCCTGGGGAGGTCTGCCATGTCCACTCTCCCCTCCCGGGCCCTGGCACTGTCCCTCCTGCTATCTGCTCATATCCTCTCTGTTAGCACTTCTGGTGCTGGCTTGCTGGCTCACTGTCCTCCCAACCAGAGCATGAGCCCCACGGAGCAGGATCTTCACTTGGCCATCTCCCAAATGCAGACCCGACAGTGCTGGTGCCTCATAGGTGCTCAGGAAACATTTGCTGGCTGTGGCCTGCGTGTTCCTATTCTACAGACAGGAACCCTGAGAAGGGAAGCCTTCAGGGGCCTCGGTCCTCTCTTCCCAGTCCTGCACTCCACGCGTGTGCACCCCGCCTGGGCAGGGGAGCGGGGTCCTCTCCATACCTACCTTGGAAGGAGGTGATGATACTGAAGAGGTAGAGGACGACAAGCTGGAAGGTGCCGGAGGCAAAGGAGAAGAAGACCAGGGCCCAGGGCAGGCCGAGGACCAGGCTGAGGCCCAGGAGCGTCAGCACGTGGGGCCACTTCTGGGCATGAGGACGCAGCCGCAGGATCTGCACCACCATGGTGCCCAGCATGGCCGTGTTGAACAGGAACACCAGGCTGAAGAGGCCCAGGTTGGTGATGTGGCTGACCAGGGAGTCCCGGATCCAGCACCTGTGGGCAAGGTGGGAGAGCTCAGCCGCTCGGAATGGGGTGCCCCACGGCGAACCCGGCGGCAAGAGAGAGGGTGCCCTTCTCAACCCTCTGCCATGCCTTCCCTTTGGTGAGGGAGGGGCCTAGTTCAGGGCTAATGCCTCGAAGGCCTTCAGCAATTGCTAGACCCCCTTTTTCCACAGCCCTCATCCTGCAATAGAATCAAGTTGTCATTTAAGAGCTAGGTTTTCACGCTAGTTATGAAAAGGGATAATTGGTTTCTATTTATGTTGTTATATATACGCTCCAGAGTCGGACCCAACTCATAGCAGAGCCCCGGTGGGTTTTCAGAGGCTGTAAATCACATGGGAGGGGGACTGCCCATCTTTCTCCACTGGAGCAACTGGTGGATTCTAACAGAACAGATTGACAGCCCAGCTCCTTACCCACCAGGCCAACCGGCTTCCCCTTTCAACTTAACAGAGTTGATAACTATTTTTAGAACCATATTTAACCGAAAGAGTCAGATGATTTAAAGATGCTAAGCAAACAATGATACAGATAGTACAAGGATAAGGCAAAAATCATGGGGTCAGGATGTGAAGGACTATTTTCAGCACGCTGAGCCAACAGGAAGGAGTCTCCCCAGCCTGGAGTGTAAGAGCCTCAGCTTCTGGTCCTGCCTCCAGCACCGCCCCTCAGGGTGGCGGGAATGGATCCCTGGCCTTGCTAAGCCTACATCTTCCCGTCTACACAAGGAAACAAGGGGGAGCCACCAGGAATGCAGTGGGGGTTCATCTGCCTCACCCCAGACTGCCACTAACAGACGGGACAGTTGAGGCTCAGGGAAGGGCCAGGACTTGCCCAAGGGCACCCAGTGAGTAATGGCAGGGTAGCCCGCCCTCACGCTCCCTCACCCTCAGCCCAGGGCTCCCCCCAGGGCCAGGTCAACACCTCCAGCATCCCGGGTCCCCAGAGCCTCCTAGCCGGTGTCGCCCGGATCCAGCACAGCTCTGCAGCCACACAGCCACTCACATGGATGGGTAGATGACCTGCTCTGGAGTCCGGTGCACAGCCAGAATGATGGGGCCATAGTTGTCCACGTCCACCAGTGCTACCACGGCCACCAGGAAGATCGGGAACCCTACAGATGACAATCCCTGGAGTTTCATTTCCCCCCTCCCAAGAACCTGCCCTTCCCTCTGCCCACACAGAGGTATCAGGCCACACTCCCTACCTTGCCCATCTGGGGAGGTGTCCCTGAACTCGGGTCTTTGCTGTCCCCACTGTAGGCCGAGCTTCCCATAGCGACCCATCTCCCCTACCCCGTCCCACCCTCTTGGAGAAAGGGCCCAGAGTTTCCAGCTGCAGTCAGGAGGAGAGATGAAGGGCATCCCCTGGTGGGTAGCACTAGTGGGTGGAACTAGGCTGAAAGGCAACATATCAGTTCTGCCACCATGAGGTGTGGGGCAGCACACAGACCTCGTCCGGTTGCCAAGCCCACAGCCATCACCCAGGTCTGACTGAAGGGCGCCCCATGAAAGGAAGGGGTAAACAAAGAGGAGAAATGAGAAACGCTAGAGGAAGAACAAGCTGGGCTCGGCAGCGTGTGGAGGTGGTGGTTGTTATGTGCCATTGAGTCAGAAGCGACCCCAGGTTGACCCTCCAGCGGGTTTTCAGAGGCAGGAACAGCACAGGAGGAGACTGCCCCTCCTTCTTTTAAGGTGGATTCAAACTGCATGCCTTTGGAACTGCAGCGCAGATTCTAACCACTAGACCACCAGATTGAGGGCCCTAAAAATATCCAAAAGAACTTGTGGCGTGAGCTCCCAGGTCCTTGACACAAGACCCAACTGGGCTATAGTTGAACCGGGTTGTAGTTGGCCCCAAACACACCTAAACCCACAGGCAGCGACGCCACCAGGCAGGGCAAATTAGATGAGTGGAACAGACCAGATTGCAGCCCCAGCCATCCATCCACAGGGACCTCTGGTGGCCGAGTGGGTAAGGAGCTGCACTGCCAACCTGAAGGCAGGCAGTTTGAGTCCACCAGCTGCTCTGCCAGAGAAAGATGGGCTGTTTCCTACGATGAGATTTACAGCCTCTGAAAAGCCACGGAAGAGTCAGCTGTGAGTCAGTTCCAACTCAACAGCACACAACACCCCCTGTTGGATGTTTCGAGAGATTTGTTCACAGCAGCCCTGCCTGGAAGCCCCTTTGAATGGAATGAGTAATGTGGGTTCTTTGTATTTCCAGGGGACAAGGATCCAGGTGTAACCTTCCTAAACAGGTCCCTGACCCCACCAAGAAGGGACCCTGAAGACGAGTGAGAGAGAAGGAGCAGGGGCCAATCAGACAGGCAGGTGGAGAAATGGAGACAGGGGTCCGGGTTCTGCCAGCAGCCAGGTGGGAAAGGTCAGTCTGGGGGCCACTCACACCTTCGCTGAGCCAGGGGGGATGGCCCGACCCCGACTCACTCACCCCAGCCCACCAGGCTCAGCTTGAGCATGTAGCCAGGCACGTAGGTACCGAAGACCTCCACGACTAGCCGGTAGAGGTTGTAGCCCTCGAGGCCCATCCAGGTGAGGCAGGTGAGCAGCGAGAAGTGCAGGAACACGGCCGCGGCTCGGCAGGCCGCCTCGGAGCCCGTCAGGGCCACCGGCTCGCTGAGCAGGAAGCTCATATCCAGCAGGAAGACGGCCAGCAGCAAGTTCATGTGCACCTTGATGGTATAGTCCCGAGGCTTCCTCCTGGGCGGGGGAGGGCAGGGTGAGCCCACGGGCCAGTGTGGGCAGTGGGTGGGGTGCCCACTTCTCTGCCTCCTCCAGGAAGCCTTCCCAGGCTACACACACACACACACACACATGCCCAGCTGCACACAAACGCATGCATGCGCACACACACGCCCAGCTGCACACCAATGCACACACCTTCTCTAACTCTGTGGCTACGGTCAGTCGACTTCTGACTTGCCCTTGTGCCCCTGCTAAGGGGCACCCAGGCTTGACCCCATGTGAGCGTTTAACAGAAGCCTTACCCAGGCCAACAAAGAAGGCAAAGCAGCTACTACAGGAAGCCAGGTGCTTCCACAGCTGGAGGGGGAACTTCTGGATTTCTTGCTGTTTGGAGAACCCATGATGCTTTGCGCCGACCTGCCTGCCTGCAGGACTGTGTCCCCAGGCCATGCATGTGGAGTACGTGCATCTCTCTGAAAGGCTGGGTGTGTTACCATGCCAGGCATTCTAAGAAGTCCAGGGCCCGGCCAGCTTTCCTCCACAGCATTCCCATCTGCCCATGGATGGCTGGTTCCTGGGGGCCCTCTGAGCATCCCCTAAGCATCATGCAGCCCCACTCAGCCCTGCTCCTAGCCCTACCCTCCCCCTCGGGGTGGTCTCTTCCTGTGCACTTGAGTTGCTCCATCCCTGAAGTGGGACCATGATGCCTCTCTGACAGCATCACAAGAAGGGTTACACAGAAGTGTCAGGACAGGTAACACGCTCAGCTCCTAAGAGTTTCTATCCCATGCCAGCACATCTGTCATCACTGGGTAGGTGTCAGAGGACTTCCACTGAGCCCATCAGATGACCTCTCGCATCACCTACTGTAGCTCCATTGTATGTACAGCGATGGACACACATGACATAGGTACATGTATCTGTCATACATGCACACACACGTGCACAGAGCTCGTCCTCCCCCCCAAGTGTCAGGACAGTGAGGACACCTTGGCTGTCTACTCAAACAGGCCAGAGCCCGGCTGCAGGTAGGCTGACGTGCACTGGTGATTCAGTCTCTCACAGCCCCACTGCGCCACTCACAGTGGGGATGGAGTTAAGTGACAGGCTCCTTTCCCCCAGAAGACTCCAGCCGGGACTGGGATGACAGAAGCCCCACGGGGCTTCAAATTCAAGTGCTGACAGTGGACAGGCTTCCAAAGAGTCCCCAGGAACTAGAGAGAACTGGCAGGGCCGCACCCGTGCATAGCAGCCTCTGGGCTCTGGCACTTGCAGCTACGAGGGTCTGGAGCCGGCCTGCCTCTGCCACCTCCTCCCTGTGTGCCCTCAAACAAGTCACTTATGCTCTCTGAGCTTCCCTCCCATGGCCACTGAGAGATGAACCGAGATAATAATGTGCATGCACTCAGGGCAGGGCGTGTCCCAGAGGATGCTGGGCGCACGGGCTGTTAACCTCACCATCGCCATGACACCACATCGGATTATTCAAAGGCAGAAATCAAGACTGTTACATGAACTCTCTCAATATTTGTATTCCAACAATTAAAATTTTCAACGTTGTGCTGTGGAAACACATTTCTAGAAAATGTGGTCCCCAGTGCTCAGCAGACAGACAGCACCTCCATGGTTCCCCAACACACACACACACACACCAGGATCAGGGAGGGCCCTACCTGGAACAAAGGTAGGCAGCGATGGTGAAGACACAGGCCAGGGCAGAGATGACGCAGCCCACGTAGGACAGGAGGGTCAGGTAGTGCTTGTGGACGGCGTCCACCTCGATAGTTGAGACCTGGGCGGAAGACCAGGCAGGGCAGCTTCAGTGTCCCTGGTCAACACTGAGGGTTTGCCCAAGTGGGAGTCTGTGAACCATCCCCCTGTACAAGGTGAGGTCCCAGGAGTACAGTTTTCTCAAAGGGTTTCTGTAACTGCCACCACATTCTCAAATGGGCTTCCTCACCCACAAAAGTCAAGAATTCTCCAGTAAAACTACCCATTTCAGTCCTGCCTTTCACTTTTTCTACATTTAACATGAAAATAGATCTCCTGTGAGGCAGTGAGCTCCCCATCCCCAGGGGCATTCAACTGGATACCCTACAACAGGGAGGGCTGATGGTCTCTAGGGTTTTAGGTAAGACACTGGGAGTGTGAGCTTGGGATACAACACTTCTATAATTTCAGGGTTCACTGGAGTCCACTGCAGAGGCCTCCACTCTGGGCTTCTCCCTTTGGGAGCTTTCTAGAATATTTCTAGAAATATACTCCTAGTCCAGCCCCAACCCTGTGGAACCAGAATCCCAGGCAGGGTCTACCATGTTCGTTTGTATCATGCTCCCTGGTGATTCCAATGCACGTGATCATGGAGCAATTAGAAATCAGGTCTGCACAGATCCGATCTTGTACTTACTAGCTGTGTGACCCTGCATAAATTACTTCTCCTCTCTGAGCCTTGGTTTCTTATCTGTGAAATGGGCTAACAACAGAAGCTTCCCTGGGAGTTGTTATAAGGAAGAAATGACGCCATGTGTGAAAGGCGCCCAGCACAGAACAAGGCCTCGGCTGTGGCATTGCTGGGGCAGGGGGAGGCCACTCACCATCAACACCGCAAAGTAGGTCAGGTGGTTGCAGAGACAGGACGTCTGGGTCTCTGTCCTGAGGGTCTGACAGCCAGCGTCACTCCACCGCCCTGGGCTGTTCACTAAGAAGACCACAAACAGCTCTGGTCAAGCCCGAGTCCTCCAGGGCTCCATTGCACCCCTCTAAGTGCAAATAACTCGATGGCCACCACTCTCTTCAAAAGCCATTGTCTTTCTAATAGTCTTCTCTGAATAAGCCTCCTGATTAACCTTGACCTAATCCTAACCTTCAAGACTCTCTTTCTCCTCCAGAGCCTTGTCCAGCCCAGAACCCTGTACTCACATGTCAGGTCTTCAACCCAGAATACACACTGTAGAGTCACGTTCTTCTGGAGGGACAAGGAGAAGAATAAGCCCATTACAGTTCACCCCTTTGTGAAGGCCCAGGCCGAGGAAGTCTAAACTGAGCCCTCAGGATAAGTGAGGTAGGAAGCAGAGGCAAAAAGCAGGTTATGGCCATGCCAGGGGACCTCGCCTCCTTTGACTGGTTTTCTCATACTCACCGGCTGTGGCAGGTGCTGGAAGGTGAGAACCACAGGCTCAGAGAGGTTGATGGCTTTGGTATTCTGCACAACAATACCTAAAACCTTCTCACCCAAGACTTGGCTAGAATTCTTGTCCTAGATATATGGGGACAGAGGAAGAGAGGAGAGAGAGCCTTAGGGTTGAGGAGAGACCTGACAGTCCTCGAGAGGCTTCCCAGATTCCTCTCTCTCTGAAACGCATTTCGGGAGATGCTAAGTCTCCCTCTGGAAATAATCCATGTCCGGGTAGTCATTTACACTGTAGTGAGAACTACATCACTCGACCTTCTCCCTCCGGGAAACTACCACATCGCAGTTCAATTTGTGACTGCACAAGGAAAGGCTTAGACTCCTGGAGTTTGGAGCTGGGTCGTGTGCCTTCCTTTAGTTTTTCATCAGGGGTGGGCAGGAGGGTGAGACTTCATACCTGGAAAAGAGCTTGGCTGCTGAAATCCACTAGAAGGAGTCTCTTCTCGCCCTGCTCCTTCCGGCCTTTGGGCCTCTGGAAGAGGACACGGGGCAGCAGCACCGAGTACTCTAGGACCTCGCTCTGCTCCTCCTGCAGATCAGAGTCCAGCATCAGCACAGCCCTTCCCACTGCTGCCCTCTCTAACCCACCTCCTCCAGGCAGCCACACTGACTGCTACTGTCCCTCTCTCCTGTCCTGTGGTTGAACCTCAGGGTCCCAGGAACAAACCGGCCCGGACAATCACGTGGCTCTTCTGTCGTTCAAGGTGTCAAGACCTTAGCCTTGTCTACAGACGCTGTCACGGGTCATATGGGCAGCTAACCAGGCCCTTCCTGGTCTTCTGTTCACACTGTGGTCTAGGGCCCCCTAGGGCTGGAAGCAGTCCCCCTGCCACTTCTGTGTCTACACTGGGTCCTCTGACCACGAGGTGGCCGTGAACCAAGGAGGGTTCTGGCCCTGGCCCAGCCCCAGCATGGCCCTGACCTCCTGCCCGGAATGGAGGTGCAGGTCCTGGAGGGCTGCCGTGGGCTGGAGCTTCCACACGGTGGCGTTGACCCGGTCCTCCTTGAAGGACACCGTGTCCCCCGTGAATCTCAAGGAGGTCAGCTTCGACTCGAGACTCTGCAGCTGCCTGACAGGAAGGGGAGAGGGACAGGTGACCATGAGGGACAGCGGAGACAGGCAGGGAAGAGAGAGACAAGGAGAAAGGCTCAGGAAGACAGACACGTAAGGACGAGAGAGAGACAGGCAGGCAGAGAGGCAGAGTGGGGGGGAGGCAGGTAGAAGGGAACGGTCAAGGCGGAGCAAAGGGGAACAACAGACAGGTTAGTGTGGCGAGAGAATGACCAGAGACAGGAAGTGGGGGCAGCAAAGAAAAAGCGAAGAGGCCTGGGGTATGGGTCTGTGGGTACAGCACACAGCTCTCCACTGGCCCCCAGCCGGAGGGGACTCCCCACCTCAATGTCATAGGGAAATCTGCCCACCTCTCAGAGGGAGAGAGGACTTGGGAGCAGCTGTTCTGGGGTGATTGGATTGCTTTCACTGGCTCACATGGGTAAGGGGCTCTGCTAGGGAATGAGGGAGCAACGTCCAAGAGCAGAAGCTCAGAGAATGTTCCAGGCCCAGCACACACACACACACACACCCTGGTCTGTGCCCAGCACCGCCACCCCCGGTGTGTCACACTCACTGCCGAGCAGGGGTGGCCGAGGGCCTCCTGGAGCTCTTCTGGGGGTGCTTCAGAAACTGGCTGAGCAGCTGGAGGTCCCGCTTCAGCTCGCACATGTCCACTGAGGCATTGTGGGAGACCTTATGGGGGGGCTCTGGGACAAGGAAGGGAAAGACCGGTGTTGGCAGGGCCACTGGCCACATCCACTCTTCTCCCAGTTAAGCCTCATTGGGACTGAAAGCCCCACTTTACAGGAGAAGAAACTGAGACTGATGTGGATTTGCCTAGGATGCTGAGGAATGAGGCCAGCGTGATAGGGGCTCTGTCACACGGGGTCCTCCAGCACCTGGGGCCCGTCCACAGCAAGGTGGAGGGAGGGACTCTGACTACCTAGCACCCTACCCAGGCACTTTCTGTCTGCACACAAGGGGGCAGAGGGCCATCCCTGAGTCTCGTCTCTTTGTGGAAGGTTGTGGCAAGCTTATGTTGTCAAGGGCTTCAAACCCACTGGTCGCCCTGCCCGCAGGCTGCACACTCGCATCTCCAGGACCCAGGCAGAGGGCCTGGTGAGGTGGACAGAGCAGGAGAGGGCATGGGGCATGGGGGAGGAAACGTGTCCTGTGCCATGGGGGCCTGGTTTAAAGGGTATTTGAAAATGTTGCCTCATGTTTTAAAAGTGCTCCTTAGGCCAAACCAGATGTGTTCTCAGGACACCAGCTTGTAACTCTACTGAGCTTATCCCCAAGCCTCCCAGGTCAGGGGCAGAATCACAGCCTGGGGACAGGGACCACGCCTGCCAGCTGTGCACTTAGGGCCCAGGCCACTTCCACGCCGCCTGCCCTGTCTGCGGGTCTCTGCCCAGCTCTCCCTTCGTACCATGGAAGGAGAAGATATAGCTGGTGGCACTGGGCAGGCTGGTGTTTTGAGGGTTCCACCAGGAGGTGACGGAAGTGGCGAGCAGGGAGGGGCCCTGGGCTAAGATCTCCTTCTGGTGCCGAAAGCAAAGGAGGTGAGAGGCCTGGTCACTCAGCAAGAAGTCGTTCCTGCCGTAACGGAGGTGCAGCTTCCCGGTGTGTTGGCTCCAGTAGAGACAGAAGTGGTAGAGGCCCAGGCGGTCAGGGAGGACTCGGGAGGCCCCCGGGGCAGCCGGAAAGGGGGCGTGCACGGTGAAAGCCCCCACGGTGTTTGTGATGAAGATACGGAGCTCCGGCGTCTGCTCGTACTGGAGGCTGCTCAACTGTGTCTGGTTCCGCTGGCCACAGAAGCGGAAGTCTTCTCGGGGACTGCCAGCGGTGACACCTGGAGGAGGCAGAGGCTGCAGGTGGGGCTCAGGGGCAGGTAAACCGGGGTTCTGGGAGAGGACAGGCCCTGGGGCCACACTGCCCAGCCCTGAACACTAGGCCTCAAAAGGTCTACAAAAATGTACAGTCTACAGCCTCATCAAGCTGTGGTTTTCAAATTTGTTGTTGTTTGTTGTTATGTGCCGTCGAGTCGTTTGCGACTCATAGCGACCCTATGTACAACAACCCTAAACCCTGCTCTATCCTGTGCCAATCTCATTGCCTCTGACACACCCATCCCGATTACCCCAGTCACTGAATCAATCCACCTCATAGAGGGTCTTCCCCTCCTGCGCTGTCCCTCCACTCTACCCAGCATGATGTCCCTCTCCAAGGACCTGTCGCTCCTTACAACATGTCCAAAGTATGTCAGGCGAAGCCCCAGAATCCTTGCCTCCAAGGAGCAGCCTGGTTTAACCCTCTCTAGGATGAATCTGTTTGTTTTCTTGGCAGTCAATGGTACATTCAATACTCTTCTCCAGCACCACAGCTCAAAGGCGTCAATTCTCCTTCTGTCCTCCCTAGTCATTGTCCAACTCTCTGATGCATAACAAGTGATTGCAAAAACCATGGCCTGTATCAGGCGCACCTTAGTCTCCAGAGAGACACCGTTGCTCTTGAGTACTTTAGAGAGGTGGTTTTCAAATAGGAAATTTTTAAAAGTACAAAATAAAAATAATCATAATCTCCTGAAATAGCTTGCCTCCGGAAACCCTATGAACCTGCAGAAAGGATGAAAGTTATACAAGTGTCCAGATCTTTCATTCATAGGGTCGCTATGAGTCACCTACAACTCGACGGCACTTAACAACAACAATCTCAAAGGAAAAACAACATTTTTAATGACAACAAAGAATTTATGGTACAAAGGCTGCCGTGAACAGGTGTGTAGGCCGTGCACTGCACAAGGATGATACCCTGGCTGCAGAACATGCCTGGGGCTGAAATCTCATCCACATCTCCCAGCCCAAACTGGCAGGGCTCCATTTATCTGGAAAAAGGGGTGCCCCTTCCTTCTGCAAGGCACCATCCACTTGCTGAATTTTTGCCTGCAGGTTTGTGCTCGCCCAGAAGGGTTACCACGCATACTGCCAAATGCCTTACACAGGGGAGTATTTAACTGGGTCCCAACAGCCCCCAGAGAAGTCTTACCTTGGACCAGGAGGACAACCAGCAGGTGCAGCGCCATCTGAGGCAGACCTTGGCCAGTCATCTTCCTCCCTGGCTGTCACACTGAGAAGTCACCACCTGGAAGAGACCAGGAGTGTTAGCTGAGGGCCTGGGCTCCAGGGAGGTGGGGGTCAGCCTTACAGAGAAGCAGCCGATGGAGGGGAGCAGAGGAGACAACTGTCGAACAGCCTGGGGACCTCTTCAAGGGCTGCCAGATGCTCAACATCAAGAGGTCAGCTCCACATTTCACTTGCTCAAGATCCTAAGTTGTCAAAAATGAGAATAATAATAGCGCCTCCTTCCTGGGTCCAGAAGTCATGGGAAACTTTTCAACAGTCCCCAGTATCGCCTACAACCACTGTGGTCTGATAGAGGAGATTCAGAAGAAATAAGGTTCTCAGAGTTCTCCACTAGTAGCTTCACCATAGTCTTTGAGATCTAACTCAGAGGACACCTCCTTCAGGAAGGCTTCTTTGGTGTCCTCCGGAATCATCCCTGACAGTGCTGGATAAAGGCTGGGCAAGTGGCCTGTGGAAGGACCAGGACGCCCACAGCAACCCCTACGGGAGTCAGAGGAGAAACACTTCCTAAAGTGACCACCAGAGGGAGCCTGAGCCGCGGGAACAGAGGGTTATGGCCCTGCGTGGTGAGATGTCCAGTACCTCCTACCCCAGCGTGAGTGGGCACCTCTCCGTTACCTCTGTGCTGGCCTCTCCTCACTCCAGCTGTGCTAAAGCTCACTCCTGCTCTGTGAAGTGGGCACTTCTGCTGCACAGACAGGAAATCCTGGAGCCAAGGAGTCAAATGATTAGCCCAAGATTTCTCCATAAACTGAAGTATTTCCCTATCTCATCAAGACTGTGGCATCTGTCCTGGAACCGGCATGCTGGCTATCTGTATACAGATACAGGTGGTGTGGCCCTCCCAACTGACAACTCTGACCTCGCCTTGTGACAGAGCTGGGTACAGAGAGGGGTAGGCACGTTCATCTGCAGATGCCTGCCATAGCCAGACAAGGGGGACTAGTGTCCTGGTGACAAACAAGTAAGCTGTGTTTGGGAGAAACCACAATGGGCTTCCAGGAAGAGGTGACTTTTGAATTACTTATTTAGGGCAGCATTACAGAGAAGAGTGTCTCGGACAAGAAGTCCATTGTCACCTTCCTGGGCCAGGACTTCCTTGAACTCCTCCAAGCCAGAGTTGTAAAACGGAGCCACAGTTTCTCAGGCTGCACTGGCCTGGTCATATGTTAACCGGGCTTCTTATTTCCCCTCCAGGGCATCACAGGATGTCAGAAGAGAAAGGACTTGAAAGTCTTTTGGGGAAGAGCCACGGCTTCCGAAGCAGTGATTACAAGGTTTCACTCTGCATGCTCTAACTATTTTGGTTCCTTTTCAAACTGTCTCCCACCATCTCAGGTCAGCAGGAGGAAATCAAGAACCCACCCCAGGCCCCCACTTTCCTTCTCCTTTCTGACAGTTTCTGTTACTGTCCAATTCCGGGCCCCAGTCCTAGTGTCACCACCTCCAGGCAGTCCTCATGCCTCGACTATTGTAATGCACGCCAAACTGTTAGTTTGCATCTCACCTTGAGCACCAATCCCAACTCCCCCTTTCATTTCTGGATCCAAGACCTAGACAGACACATTAATCCACTCAGCAAGCTGGGGCAGGGGTGTGAGCTGACGAGAACCCGGGCATCTCTCGGGCCCACTGGCCTTCAAAGGGGCCACTACTGTCAGAGGACAAAGCCCAGAGGGGGGCTACCGTCAGTCCCTGGACCCTGCATTAGCCCTCCTGGAAGGGTGTTGAGAGCAAAGGAGGTGGGATCAGGGAGTGAGATCCCCGTTGATGGAAGGAAACAAGTGAGATCACATCACCATGGGTGTCAGGAAAGATGTAAACAGAGACAAGAGAGGAGGCTGTATGGCCCTGATGGTTCCGGGGTCACTCCTACATTCCAGATGTTTCAACAGCTCTTCTAAGGTGGACAACTCTGTCCCTCTCCACTTTCTTCCACTCACTACCTGTGTGTCTTTGGGTTAACTGCTCACCCTCTCTGGGCCTCACTCTACTAACCTGTAATAGGTAGGAAGACAGCACCCATCACAAAGGCAGTTGAGTTGTAAGAATGGGATTAACTCCTCCTTGTGAAGGTTTAGAACAGGGCCTTGCCCTCCGACCCCCTCACAAGCCTTTCAGAGAGCTCCCCATGATTATTGCTGCCTTCCATTCCCACGAAGCCCTGCACACCCCAAACGAGCTCACCCTGAAGAGGATTTACCCCAGGAAAATGCCTCAGACGTGGACCTTCCTTTCCCGGAGAGCAAAGGCAAGCCTGAAACCCCACCCAGAAAATTTCCCTCCTGGCCCAGCAGCTCCAGGCCTAGCAGAGGGGCAGGAGTGCAGGGCTGGGCACAGAGGATTCCAACTCAGGTGGGGAAGGGGAAAAACACCATCCTGAGAGCCCACTTGGCCCTGCCCGCCCCCTGCTGCCCCCACCACACCACAGAGAACCCTTCCCTTCTCAACATACGTCCTTCTTCACAGAGCAAGCCACAACCAGAAACACCCCCAGAGTCAGAGAAGGGGTGTTCTCACCACCACGCCACAGTAGAAACATCCTCGATATTATATTAAATCCCCAGAGCCACTCAGTGAGAACAGTCCTACTGTTTCCCCATTTTACAGGCCAGAAAACTGAGGCTGAGAAGAGTTCTGAGATCACAGAGGGCTGTAGTGTGACCCTACACAAAATACCAGCGCTCACCCCAGCCCATCTTCCCTTCCAGAGATGGGTTAGGGTCCCAGAAATGCATGTTCCTCTGGTTTGGCAAGCCAGGGGAAGCAAGGTCTTGGGAAACAGAAGAGAGGGGTTGTGGTCAGGGCCACGTGCAGTTTAAGGATTCTGGTCTGGGACAGAAAGCCTGGGGCCGAGCCCCCAGAGTAACACCCACCTCCCCCCCCCCTTCCTGAGCAGCAGCCCTTGACCTCAGGCCTTCCGTAAACAGAGGACAGAACGTGCTGGTCCTGGGCATACAATGGGGCCACCATCACCGGTTCCACCAGTTCCGCACTGCAAAGGATGCTGGGTCCTGTCTGAGCTGAGACAACCCCCCAATCTTACCCCAGATGCAACAGGCCCAGGAAAGGGGCTCCAGCTGAGGCCCAGCCCTGCCCCTCTACATCCACAGTTAGGGAGTGGGGGACAGGGGCTCCCCATTCACTTTCTCCCCCAGGCCCTGAGTCACTTCCTCTGTGATCCATGCGGAGACCGAGTCACCCCCGGCCCAGAACAGGCTCCTGGAAAACCCATTTCCTGGAGGATGGAGGTGGAAGTGAGTGGATAGGACTAAGCGGATCTGGGTTAACCCCTCCGGGACAGGCCACTCCACTGGCCGGGAAAACGCCTGGACAGACCCAACCCCCACCCCCCTCCGTATTTCTCCTTCTCCTTCCACGCACTGTGGTCCGAGGGCCACTCCCAGACTGACACATCCACACCCAGGCCTTCGCTCACCCCGCTTCCCCTGCTGGCATTCCCTGACACTGACGGAGCTCCTCGGGATGCAGTTAACACACTCGGCTGCCAGCCGTGACTTGGGAGGCTCAAGACCACCGGAAGGTGCCTCAGAAGGAAAGCCTGGTGACCTGCTTCCCAACAGTCAGCCTTTGCTCCGCTGTGGAGCACTGGCCAGTCCGGACACACCGGGTGTGAACCAGAGCCAGCTTGACGGCAGAGGGTCATCCCTGTGATAGCCAGTTCATCTTCTGAGTCCTGCGGAGACATGCCCTCAGCACGCGGTGACCCTCATCCCCACTCCCATCAGAACTGACCGCTGCTGCCGGTCCCCCATTGCACTCAGCCCTCACTGCGTATGTGCATCCGTGTAGAGGTGGAGGTGTGAGCGTACGCATGGAGGTGTGTGCGAGAGCATGTGTGTTAAGGTGTGTGAAGATGCACATGTGAGCACATATATGGGGTATATGTGAACGTGTACATGGATGTGTGCATGGTGACCATATGTGTGCAGGTGCACGTGTGAGGCTTTCTCTGGAGCTGTCTGTGTGAACACAGGTGTGAAGGTGAGGTGTGAGCACACCTGTGCAGGGAGGTGTGTGAACACAGGTGTGAAGGCGTGGTGTGAGCACACCTGTGGAGGTAGAGGTGTGTGCACACAGGCACACGTGCGAGGCTTTCTCTGGAGCTGTCTGTGTGAACACAGGTGTGAAGGCGAGGTGTGAGGATACCTGTGGAGGGAGGTGTGTGCATACAGGTGCACATGTGAGGCTGTTTCTGGAGCTGTTCTTGTGAACACAAGTGTGAAGGCGAGGTGTGAGCACACCTGTGGAGGGAGGCATGTGCATACAGGTGCACGTGTGAGGCTGTCTCTGGAGCTGTCCGTGTGAACACAGGTGTGAAGACGAGGTGTGAGCACACTCAGGGAGGGAGGTGTGTGCACACAGGTGCACGTGTGAGGCTGTCTCTGGAGCTGTCCATGTGTGCACACAGGTGCACATGTGAGGCTGTCTCTGGAGTTGTCCATGTGAACACAAGTGTGAAGGTGAGGTGTGAGCACACCTGGGTAAGGAGGCATGTGCATATAGGTGCACGTATGAGGCTGTCTCTGGAGCTGTCCATGTGAGCACAGGTGTGAAGGTGAGGTGTGAGTACACCCGGGGAGGGAGGTGTGTGCATAAAGGTGCACGTGTGAGGCTGTCTCTGGAGTTGTCCATGTGAGCACAGGTGTGAAGGTGAGGTGTGAGGGAGGTGTGTGTAAACAGGGGCACGTGTGAGGCTGTCTCTGGAGTTGTATGTGTGAACACAGGTGTGAAGGTGAGGTGTGAGCACACCCGGGGAGGGAGGTGTGTGCATACAGGTGCACGTGTGAGGCTGTCTCTGGAGCTGTCCGTGTGAACACAGGTGTGAAGGCGAGGTGTGAGGATACCTGTGGAGGGAGGTGTGTGCATATGCAGTGAGCTGACAGTGTGTGCATGCGTGTGGAGGTGCACATGTCTGAGCACGTACGTGAAGGCGTGGTCT